AGAGGTTGACAGATAGATGACCGGACAAACACGCAGGCAGCACAGACCAACAGAGAGCCAGCGGTGCTCAGACAAACAGCACAAGACAGAGCGAGCGGACAGACAAATCCCCGTCTGTCTCGCTGGTTCCTCTTGTGGCATGCTTGTCCATGTTTGTCTTCGTGCCTATCTGTGTGTGTGTGTGCGTGTTCGTTTTTCTGTTTGTCAATCTCTCTCCTCTCTCTCTTCTGCCGTTCGCTCGGTCGGCATTCGTCCGTCTGTCTCTCGGTTTCTGTTTGTCTGTCTCCGATTGCCTGTCTCTGTCTGGCTGTCATTCTGTAAGTGTCTATTTGTTTGTCTTTCTCTGTCTGTCTCTGTCAATATCTGTCATTTTCTATCTGTCTCTGCCTGCTTGTTTGTCTGTCTGTCTGTCTTGTCTATCTATCTTTCTTGTCTGTCTTTCTGTTTGTCCGGCAGTCACTCTGTCTGTCTCCATCTGTCTATCACTGTCTCTGTGTATGTCTCAGTCATTCTGTCTGTCTGTCTATTTGACTGTGTGTCAATCTGTCTGACCTGTCTTTGTCTCTTATTCTTTGTCTTTCAGTTTGTCTGTTTTGTCTGTCTGTCTGCCTGTCTGTCTGTCATTCTCACTCTGTCTGCCTGCCTGTCTGTGTTTGCCTGTCTGTTTTTCTCCGTCTATCTGCTTTTGTCTGTCTGTCTGTCCATGTTTTTCACTTTTTCTGTCTTTATCTGACTGTTTGTCTGTCTGCTCTCTGTCTGTCTTTCTCTTTCTCTCTGTCTGTCCGTCTATATTTGTTTTTGTCTGTCTGTCTGCATTTCTCACTCTGTTTTTCTGTTTGTCTATGTTTGTCTGTTTGAATGTCTGCCTTTGTTTGTCTGTGTCTGTTTGTCTGTCAGTCTGTCATTTTCTATCTGTCTCTGCCCGCTAGATAACAAGACCATGTTTTTTCTTTATAAAGCAGATTTGAGTTGAGGCGAAACAACCAGAAAAATGTTCCAAGTTTGTTATTATTCCTTCTTTTACCAAAGTGTTCCTGTTGCTTAACAACTCAATGAGACACGTTATGGTTACGTGGTGAGTCACTGGACAGTTTGGGTGACAGCGGTCGAGCCTGACGAGAGCACCGGACCTTTTTATTTACGGCGATTCCTTCTTTATCTTGAGTTAGTGTATATAAAACTTATTTATCAATTATGTCTTTGTAATATATCAGCGGCAACTGGTGAAACACATTGTAGGGAGAGTTGTATTGTATTGTGTTGTAGGGAGAGTTGTGTTGCGTTGTAGGGAGAGTTGTGTTGTGTTGTGTTGTAGGGAGAGTTGTGTTGTGTAGTATTGTAGGGCGAGTTGTGTTGTGTTGTGTTGTAGGGAGAGTTGTGTTGTGTTGTGTTGTAGGGAGAGTTGTGTTGTGTAGTATTGTAGGGCGAGTTGTGTTGTATTGTAGGGAGAGTTGTGTTGTGTTGTATTGTCATTCTGTAAGTGTCTATTTGTTTTGTAGAGAAAGACAAACAAATAGACATACATATAGAGGTAGACATTCAAACAGACAGAATAAGACAGACAGAAACATAAAGGGACAGAGGACGAACTGATTGCTACAAGAACAGCCCAGCCCCAACCATTGTAAAAATTATCAACACCTGATTATTATACATCATATTTGTATCACTTATGTTACTTGTACATCATTTGTAAATCAAGAGACCCATTCCCCAATTATGTAATTGTATATTTTCAGCCTTCCGGCTGCCATGCTCTTTCAATAAACCGTTAATTATTATTATTATTATTGGGCAGACAGAGACCAACAGACAGACGGTTTCTGTTTTTCTGTCTTTCTCACAATGTCGGTCTCTGTCTGTCTGTTTGTCCCTTTATGTCTCTTTGTCTGTCTCCGATTGCCTGTCTCTGTCTGGCTGCCATTCTGTCTGTGTCTATTTGTTTGTCTTTCTCTGTCTGTCTGTCTGTCTCTGGCAATCTCTGTCATTTTCTATATGTCTCTGCCTGCTTGTTTGTCTGTATCTGTCTTGTCTATCTATCTTTCTTGTCTGTCTCTCTCTATCTGTCAGTCTAATTGTCTATGTCTGTCATTCTGTCTGTCGGTCTATTTGTCTCTGTCAGTCTGTTTGTCCTTCTGTCTTTATCTCTTATTCTTTGTCTGTCAGTCTCTTTTGTCTGTCTGTGTTTGTCTTTCTCACTCTGTCTGTGTTTGTTTGTCCATCCTCTGCCTGTCAGTATAAACGTGCACTATCGCCATCCACAAGAGGTGTTTGGGGGCCGACCATAACCCCCTCCCTAGTTGAGGCTTGGATGCAGTTCAAGTTTTAAAGATGGAGAGCTGAAATTTGGTTGGGAGTGCAGATGGTGGTGTGTTGTTCCTCCACCAGGGGGAAGGATGGGTAAATGCTGCTCGTAGTTTACTAATAATACCGACTACTGGTGTCAGATTACGGTATATGTTATGTAATTTTCTGTAATTCCTTGAAAAAAAATATTCATTGACATATTCAATAATACACTACAATTTATGCACACATACATCCCCAACTATCATCAACACACCTCAATCATTTAACCCACATTTTGTTGACATTTAAGATTGTGTAATACATATGTTGGTGAATAACGAGTTGTGTCCGTTCACAGTTGTAGCTGATATTTAAGGTAGGCAATTATGTTATTTTTCCTAGTATCTCTGCGCGATTTTCCACCGTCAAATATATCAACAGGTTGATGAAACGGAGACGGTAGCTGACTAAATCACGTATAACTGACACTTCTACCGTTCGTGTCTACTCATATCCCAACTCAACCACGCCTAACACAGGACCAGCATGAGACTGGGTGGTTACTAAGAGACAGGCTCAGTTTATGGACGAGTGAGAGTGTTACGCCGTCTCTTAATTTACTTAAATATCCAGGTTCTAGGCGTAACCAAACAAAAAAGTGAAGTAAATTAAAAAGGGAATAAAAATAAATAAAGTAAACCTTTAAGAATTTAATTAATTAAATATTAACACAATAAAGAGCCTCGTAGGCTGTCACAACAACTTTTAAGACACAAATGATACTAAACATCGAAACATCAAAAGAATAAAAATAAAGCATTGGATTACGTTAACACTGCATAAACATATAAAAACTAACACTGAAATTAACTATCGTGAAACAACACTGAATTACTTAAATGTAACTAAGCAAACACTGATGGACACATAAGAGACATAAATAGGTACTCACATAGATATACCGCATTGGTGGCGACAGGAACAACACAAATAAAATAAGTATAAGTAACAGGTGACGACTGTCACTCAAAGGATGTGAACTGTATGACAAGAGGACTGAACTAAACTCCGTCTGCTGGTGGGTCTTATATATAAGGCCAATTCCTGCTAAAAACCCGCCGGTGAGTCGTTTAACGATGCAGATGGTCGTTAGAGAACAAAGAATGCTTGTTACAATACTAAATAAAGAAATAAGATGGGCTTGAACAAATAATGACACTTAAAACCTTAACAGCACAGGGTAAGGTGACTAGAATATATAATAGTAAATTTAACACATCATTACAGGAATAATATGGAACAACATGGGAGCATGTTATATATAT